ACCTACTACCATATTCATAAAAATTAATGTGTTCCTTCTGAATTGCCTCATCAAGCCATCCTGACCAATTATCCTTATATTTATCAATAGTTACTTTGATTTCATTGATCATTCTATTGTTTGACTCATCCTTTGTTTCTTTGGTATCTTGACTAATTGGAGCAGATGATGATGATTTGGATAATTGTAGTGAAGGAAGTTCTTCAATTTTAAATTCATCATTATTATTATTAGGTGTTGTAAAAGTTGATTTATAATATAATACTTACGCTCTATTGAATGAAAAATAAAATTAATTAATTAGATGATGTTTTAATAAAGTTTATTTTGTGTTGTAAAAGTTAATTTATAATATAATACTTATGAGCTATGAAATAAAAATAAAAATAATTAATTAGATGATGTTTTAATTAAGTTTATTTTGTATAGTAAAAGTATTTATAATATAATACTTACAAACTATTAAATAAAAAATAAAATTATTTAATTAGATGATGTTTTAATAAAATTTATTTTGTGTTGTAAAAGTTAATTTACAATATAATACTTACTCCCTAGTTATTATAATGAAATAAAAAAACAAATTATTTAATTAGATGATGTTTTAATAAAATTTATTTTGTGTTGTGAAAGTTAATTTATAATATGGGGCAGACTGCAACAAAACCAGACAAAGTGAACATTTGTATTACCAATGATTTCAGGGATCAATAGTGTTTGTTTAACATCACAATTGTATTACAATGTAATGTGATCATGATATTTGTCTAGACAAAAATAGTTAATATGAAACTCATCAAAGAGTTGAAGAACAAGATGAAAAAATTGCTCTTTATATTTTCAAAATTTTGATCACTTTGACTCGAAATTAATGGATTTAAAATTGACATGTTGATGTGTGAAAATGAAATTGCATAAAATTAAATAGTTATTTAAAATTTTTTTCACACACAACATAATATATAAAATAAAATAAATGACAAATTGATATAATGAATAAAACAACGCAACCTCAGAAATAAATACAATTGGAAGAAAAAAAAAGAGAAAATTTTAAAATTTAAAAGAATGAATACAAAGAGGATTTGAATGATTTTATTGATATTCATAAAATAAATGAATTCAATCATATATTGTAAGTAAATGTAATCAACTCATCTACCATTATGAAAATTTTCAAATATTTATTGAAATTGGATATATTATTCAATTATATATAATAAAAAAGTTTTTGCACAAGTAAGTAATTAAAAGGTTTTCTTTTTCAAGTCTAAAGAACTCACAGTGTAAAATAAGTTCCATATTCATGCATCAAAAAGATTGGTTGCAATGCATGGTTAGGTGATTGTTGTTTTTTTTGCAATATAATTTTGTAAACATCAGTGATCTCTGCAACTGACCTTATTAAACAGACTCTCATGAGCCACAGAGTATGAATAAAATAGGTGGTGGATTCAAGGTTGTTCATTTTCTTATATGGAACATATACAGTGAACCCTCCCTAAGTGCACCCTCCCTAAATGCACACCCTCCATAAATGCACGCTCACAAGAAATAGCACTATGTTCCTGAGGGGGGTGCACTTATAGAGGGTTCACTGTAAGTCAAATATTTCTTTTGATCTACACAGTGGCAGTCCCGTTGATCAAAAATTATTATTTTAAGTTTTGTGTCTATTTTTATATATAGTGGGATTAGTGTTAGAATAAAGTAATTGAGGCAACTAAGATTTGCATTATATACTACATACTATATGACTGCAACAAGAAAATTTCAGCTTCATGAATTTGTTTCCAAAGAATTTCGGAATCTTCTCCAAGATACTGTGTATTCTTATTGATTAATTTGGAAGCAATCATGATCTTACTATCATGACCAAATCGAATCAATCAATTTTCAGTGATCTTCTTCGTGTTTTTGTTTATTGTCCACAAACAGACTGCCTGATGTTTCTTGAAATAAAATTTTGTGTAAAATTTTATCAGAGTTTTTCATAACAACCCAAAAATCTGGTTCCTGAGCATTATAAAGACCAGTGCCGTAAATTATGAGGATGGTAGTAATTGTATTTATGGCATATAAAAAGTGGTTGCAATTACCTTTGCAACCACTTTTGCAACCATACTTTTTCCTTTTTGGATTACGGCACTAGTCTTTAGAGCATTATAACCTTTTCGATATTTGGAGGATTCTGATTCCTTTATACTCCTATTTAAATAACAATGATTTGTTAGAACATATAAAAAAGATTGTCATGTAGTTCATTATTATTCACTTACCACTGTTGATAACAATTGGGGACCTTCCTTGTTAAAATTTTAAAAATTTGGTCAAGCACAGTTCTCTCCCATGTTCCTTCATTACAGGAGGGCTCTTCAATATCATTCTCCCATAATGAAAATCTATGTAAAAAGATTAAAGATTAATATTAAAAAATAAATAAATAACTTTTTTCTTTTGAAAACTACTTACATGTGCTTGCATAAGTCTCTAATGAAAAAGTAATATGGTAATTTTTTTTTGGCAACTATTGACATTACCAAATTCATCATATTCCAATTGATTTTTGTCAACAAAAAAGCATTCAACCAATATTTTAAAATCAATATCTGGAGATTGAATATAAAATTCAGGTGTTCTTGATATGTTAAAATATATTGAAGGTGGTAGAGGCTGATAAAGGTGTGGATTTTTTGATTTTTTATTAAAATCAACTACAAAAGATAATATGGGATTGTCATAGTCCAAATCTTTGAGCAAATTCCAAGTTATAACATTTGCAAATATAATTCCTATATCATAGACTAATTGGTTTTGATCTATAACCCATTTGGAACATCAAGCCTGAAATTACATGAATTACATATGTCTATTGATTAATTCAAAATAAAAAACTCTTGATTTTTCATGAATAAATACTTACCCGTAAGTTTGTATATTTTGTATAAACTTCCTTTTTGAGCACATTGCTACCACATAATTTTTCTCTAATTGTATTGTTATATAAGAATTTAAATCATAACACAATTTAATCACTTTTCTTATTTATTGACCTATAAGAGTATATTCATTACCTCGAATTATTTTCTAACTAGAGCTAGAGTGGCAAGTTGCATGTGACCACCATTTCTTTTAAATTTAACTAGAGTGATGATGCGTGGCAACAATTGTAATAACCATCAATCTTATATATAAACTAGAGTGATGACAAGTGGTGGGCGATAACTGGAGCAAACTCTTGCTTTCTTTTTTTTGTATATTTCTTTGAAGACATTTTTGAAAAAAAAAGTTTGTAATTTGATCGACATGTACAACTGCAAAAATTTCATAATAATAATAGAATTTGGCACAAATTTTTGCAGATCACTAATTGAAATTTTCTGGAACCCATACTTCATTCCTAAAAAACTACTATTATATGAATTTATAAATTGTATTTGCAATTCCAATAAATAATAAGAATCTCAAAGTTTCAACATACAAATTTTCAAAGGGACTTTCTTATAAAGTATTTTACCTTTATATGGAGGGACCACTGGATTCTTGCCTAAAGTTGCTATATAAAACTTAAGATTTAAGTATAATATTTGATTATTTATTCAAGAAAAAGAA